AAGGGGATATCACTAAAGGGTCTATGGACATTAAAAAGGTAAGAGAATTGGGGCATCTGGTAGCTCAGCCGGTTGAGCGTCTGACTTCAGCTCAAGTCATGATCTCATGGATCTTGAGTTCAACCCCCACATTGGGCTTGCTTCTGTCAGCATGGAGCCCACTTTGATCCTTTGTTCCTCTCTCCCCCTGCCGCTCCCCCATTCATGCTCTCCCTCTCTCTCAAAAATAAGCCTAAAAAAAGAAGTAAGAATATATGAACAATTTTTGTCAGTACAATAGAGAATTTATGAAAATGGAAAAAATATTAGGAAAGCAAATTACTAAAATTGGCACATGAAATGGAAAATCTTAGTGAACCTATATTTATTGAAGAGCTGGAATCTATCATTAAAAATTTCACAAACTCCAGGCCCAGATGTCTTTATTGGTGAATTCTTCCACATAATTAAAGTAGAAGAAAAAGCTTTTCAAGGTTGTTTATGAGAGCAGAATAAACAAAACCTGATACTCAAAGCCGACAAGACAAATTTTGATACTAAAACTTGATAAGACAATACAAGAAAGAAAAGAATTTTAAATGGTTCATCATGATGAGTTTGGTTTATTCAAGGAACACAGGCTGAGGTTAGCATTCAGAAGTCAATGATTGTCCTTATATTTTAAGAAATGATAGGTAAATTTAATCAAGGGGTCAAGATATAAAAATATGCTAGCATCAGTGACACAACACTGAAAGCACAGTCTATAAAAGAAAGAAGTTTATAAATACCCTTAATCAAATGTTCTCCTCTTTGGCCCAAATGTCCACCAAGTGATGAATGGATAAAGAATGGAATGCTAGTTGGTAATGAAAAAAGAATGGAACCTTGCCATTGCAACAGTGTGGATGGAACTGGAGGGTATTATGCTAAGTCAAATAAGTCAATCAGAGAAAGATATCCAATGATTTCACTCATATGTTCAATTGAGAAACTGAACAGGTGAAGATAGGGAAAGGGAAGGACAAATAAGGTAAAAACAGGGAGGCAAACCACTTAAATACAGAGAACAAGCAGTTGCTGGGAGAGAAGTGGGGAGGGTTAAATGGGTGATTGGCATTAAGGAGTGCACTTTTTGGAATGAGCACTGGGTGCTACTGAAGCCAAGACTATACTGTATGTTAACTAACTTGAAAATAAAAAGTTTTCTGCGGGGGCACCTGGGTGGCTTAATTGGTTAAATGTCTGACTGGCTCAGGTCATAATCTCAGGGCTCATGGGTTCGTGCTTTCTTTCTCTCTCAAACTTTATTTTTTAATTTATTTCTAGGAGAGAGAGAGAGACAGCGTGAGCAGGGGAGGGTCAGAGAGAGAGAGGGAGTCACAGACTGAAACAGGCTCCAGGCTCTGAGCTGGCAGTCAGCACAGAGCCCGATGCGGGGCTCGAACCCACGAACCACAAGATCATGACCTAAGCGAAAGCCGGACGCTTAACTGACTGAGCCACCCAGGCGCCCCTCTCTCTCAAACTTTAAAAAGTTCTCTCTAAATATTACTGTTAGATTATAAAATACATGGAGAAAATATTTGCAGATTACCTGATAAAGGGCTGTATCTAGACTATTGTCTTTTAACGCCCCCCCCCCCAATTCAGTAATGATTAAATTTAAAAAATTTCTGTAAGTTTATTTTGAGAGAATTTGTTAGCAGGGGAGGAACAGAGAGAGAGAATCCCAAGTAGGTTCTGTGCCATCAGCACATAGCCTGACATGGGGCTCAAACCCATGAAGTGTGAGATCATGACCTGAGCTGAAATTAAGAATTGGACGCCCAACCGACTGAGCCACTGAGGCACTCCTTTAATTTTTTTTTTAGTTTATTAAAAAAAATTTTTTTTAATTGAAGTATAATTGACCTGCAATGTTACATTAGTTTTAGGTGTATTAAAAACTCTTTTTTAAATTTTAGAAAACTTGAACAGACATAGCTCCATAGAGGATAAATGGATACATAGCAAATAAGCACATGAAAATAAGCACAGAATTTTTAGCTATATGCACACCACTTAGTCCTGGTTCCAGAGGATTTTAAACAAAGTAATTTTCAAATTCAAAATACTCTCCCTTCTCCCCCTAACCCTCCCCCCCCCACCCAAAAGGCAATTTTAGCTTTTTGTTTTGCTGCTCTTCCTCTTGGAGGATTCTGTGCTTTTTAGTCCAGTGTCCAGAGACCACCCAGTACTTACACAGATGGCTTTTCTACTTGTTGATTGGGTAGGTGAACAATATCTAGAGTGAGGAGGCTTTTGGCATCTGGACATGGGAATCGTGGACTGGCAAACAGAGCTATTTTATACCGTGGCAGTCACTAGTAAGTGTTCTCCTTTCCCAAAGCTGCAATTTTAAAGATGGCTTTGAGAAGAGAATTCAGTGGAACAACCACATGTCTGTAGTGAACCATTTAAAACGCCCTCTGCTTTTAGTTCTGATTTAGCAGCTGCCTTTCATAAAGCATTTTCATTAGGAGCAAGTAACATTTCCTAACAATGATTTGAAGATGGCTAAAGCATTCCATTTGGACCCTAATAAAATCAGGAATTGTTTATGGGGAGAGTGTAGTGAGTACCCATGCAAATGAGTTTTCTCTCATGGCTTTCACTTGAGAGTAGGCTCAAAATGGGTGTTTAAAAAAGGAGTTTTTAAGTAAGAGACATTTCAGGTTAATAATGTGAGGGGAATAATGGGGAAAAAGTGTGACTGAGCCTGGGGAGAGAGGGTTCTTTACTTAACCCTGTGGAGAACCTGATGGAAGGAAGGTGCTAGACTATGGTCAAAATATCTTTGTTACACAGTAGGTCTTGGGTTATATATGTATCTGCTTTACCCAGTTTCAGTTAAATGAGCTCAGTAACCAGAAGCTAGATTGCACTCTGTTTTCCAGCTCTCTTCTGCCCCCAAGTCCTCATACTTTAACTTCTCTGACTGCATATTAAGGGAAACTTGTAAAAAAAGAAAATAATAATTTAAAGTGCTTCCTAGTAAGTTAGAAAAGTGAAATGAATTATTCAGGTGGTAAGGAAGTTATAAGACATCCTTGAGTAAGAACTAAGTAAGAATTAATAACTGATTAGTTTTTTGAATAATTATTTAAAAAAATATTTAATTTGTATCCAAGTTAACATATAGTGCAACAATGATTTCAGGAGTAGATTCCTTTATTTATTTCTGAGAGGAGACAGCATGAGCAGCAGAGGGTCAGAGAGAGAGGGAGACACAATCTGAAACAGGCTCTGGGCTCTGAGCTAGCTGTCAGCACAGAGCCTGATGCGGGGCTCGAACCCACGAATTGTGAGATCATGACCTGAGCTGAAGTTGGACGCTTAACCGACTGAGCCACCCAGGCACCCCGATTCCTTAATGCCCCTTACCCATTTAGCCCATCTCCCCACCCCCCACCCCCAGCAGCCCTCTGTTCTCTATATTGAAGAGAATTAAGAACTGATTATTAAATTTTCCATAGAGGTGTAAATAAAAGACATGTATACAAAACATTTTATGAGTGATTTTAGGAATTTTCAAGAGTAATTTTGACTTGTACCTAAACTTTGAATAATTTGTAACTACTGAAATTTGAAACCACATCTGGTTAAATCAGACTTAAGAAACAAATGACAGACTAAAATGATTGAGTACCATGTTGAGAAAGTCTTGTAAGGAGGTAAAAAGGGACATTTGCTTCTCTTTTCCATTTTGATATCCAAAATAATATTTCTAGAAGTAGAATTGTTGAATTACTTTGAGGATAATGCTCCTTTTGAAGTGGCTCTTTTATACTTAAAGAAATGTGATGGTTTTTATCTCTTTAAAATATGTGAGAATAAATGAGATACTAATTTTTTTTCTTTTTGTGTACATATTTCCTTCCTTTGACCAAAACAGTTCATCAGTTTTCATTGTTTCTGTTAAAAACAAGGTTAGAAAGTGACTTTATGAGATATGTTATGACTAGTAGTTTATCAAACTTTTTAAAGTTATGTCCTGCAGGTTTTTCATATAACAAAATGTTGGTTGCTTAGCTGTTGCATTTCAAGACAGTTTGAGTAGTATATATTCTTTTCTTTTTGTTAGACCATCCTAAATTTTCATAAGTTAAGAAGCAACAACAAATTTTTATGCTACTATTTTAATTTTTGTTTTTTTCTTAGAATTCAAGGACTTGACTTGGACACAGTTACGTTTTTCTTACTGAAACATCGTATTGTGATAAGGCTGTAGCAGTAGAAATGGAAAAGAGGGCTCTCTAGCGAGACATTATAATTCAATAGAGAAAGCCTCTGGCTGTCTTACATCCTCCTGGCTCTTGGTCCAAAGGCAGTATTTCTTATATTCTGAAGCCAAATGTGAAACAATGTTTTACATCTAATTTAAATTATCAGTAACTCCTTTCAAAGTCCAAATGAGACTGTATTAGGATAGATTTTTAAAAATTTTGTAATTATTTTAGAAAAAACTTTTTATTAGAAAATTACTTTTTTCACATTTAGTTACTATGTTCTCTACTAGTATATAAGTATGATTCTGAAAATTGGAATAGATTTATTTAATTGTATAACTCAAATATTTTTGTTTAAAATTACTGTTCCTCTTGGGGCGCCTGGGTGGCTTAGTCGGTTAAGCGTCCGACTTTCGCTTGGGTCGTGATCTCGCAGTTTGTGGGTTCGAGCCCCACATCGGGCTCTGTGCTGACTGCCAGCTCAGAGCCTGGAGCCTGTTTCAGAGTCCGTGACTCTGAGAGTCACGTGAGAGAGAGTCCCTCTCTCTTTCACCCTCCCCTGCTCACGCTGTCTCTCTCTCTCTCTCCTAGAAATAAAAACATTAAAAAAATAAAATAAAATTACTGTTTCTCTTAGAGATCAATGCCTTTCTGCTTAACTCTGTGTAAGTTTTTGGCAAGATTTGTAAACATAAAGTAGTTAGAAAAAAGAGAACTAAACTTTAGCCAGTATTGATGACCCTTGTTTAGGAAGCAGTACCACTGGAGTATCCTTTCAGTGCTATGAAACAAGAACAGCAGAAAAAATGGACTGAAGATTTGAACAAACAAATAGAAGATGATCGGCAAAGAAAAATAGAGGAAAAAATTACATCTCCAAAGGTAACGTGGCAAATACATGTGGATATAAAGATGAAAAAAATTATTTCAAAGTCTTTAATCATAAGCCTAAAAATATCCTGGAACTATTTGACAAGACTACAGTATTCAAATTATTATCAGATGTTCTTTTGAAACACTTATCAAATGTGTTTAGTAAGTGTGATTTTGTATAGCTTCTTAAAGGTAACTTCTTAGGAATTTCCTAATTCTTTGAATTTCTCATATTCTTGAAGCGAGTTATCTAAGTGTATATGGAATCAGTAAAGAATGTAGTTTCATTAATTTTATTATACTTGTTTTACTCTGTGGTGACTTTTAAAAATCATGTTTGAGTAGTGCCTGGGTGGCTTAGTTGGTTAAGTATCTGACTCTTGATTTTAGCTCAAGTCATGATCTCATGGTTCTTGGTTTCTAGCCACACATTGGGCTCTGCGCTGACAGTGTGGAGTCTGCTTTGATTCTCTCTTTCCTCTCTCTGCCCCTCCCCCACTCTCTCAGAATAAACAAATAAACATTAAAAATTATTTTAAAAATCAATTTGATTGTTCTGTAGGATTTTATACATGAGAACAATTGGAAAAATTCTTAGTAATTCTTATTTATCATGATTAGGGTGAGGAACATGACAGATGGGCAATGCATTTTGATTCATTAAAGAACTATCCTGCTTCTCAGTCTCAACTCTCCTCTCGGTCAACATACAACCAACCAGAGTACTTCTGTGTCTCTCCGGACACTCAGGAACTGGCTGATATCAGCAGTGTTTATACACCTATGACTGGAAGCCAGGTTGAACCTTCAGAGGAGGAGCATATAGCAAAACCTCTTAGAGTTACAGCTATGGCAAACAGTCAGAAAACAAAGTAAGTTTATTCTTGAGTATTGATTGATGTTTAAGAAAATCTGTGCTTTATTAAAAGAACTGTTGTTATAATATGTCTTAATTGAGATCAGGTTTGACTTTTTTGTTTAAAGTACAAATGAATAGAGGATATGTCTGAAACAAAAGTGATTTAGCACCTTGTTAGACCCATCTTTTGGGGGTTTGGAATAGCTAAAGTGTCTGTCTTGCCAGCTTTCTCCGTTCTATGACTGCCCTCTTGGACCCAGCTCAGATTGAAGAACGTGACAGGCGACGACAAAAACAGTTAGAACATCAGGTATTTCATTGTAAGATATTGTTCTTTGCCTTAATAAATAATAGTCATGGCTAGTGGATGCCTAAATATATGGTAGTTAAAATTTCAGTGTAAATGTATAGCACAGGCCCTGTCCAATCCTGTGATGAATCGAATTCTTATTTCAACTGGCATTATATTAAAATTACATTCATGCTAAGAACCAGACCGTATCATGTAGTACAGCCAGCCACTTGCCTTCCAGAAGAGATCTTTAATATGTAAGTTGCACATATGAAATGGCACTAAATCTTAAGTTAATATTGGTTATTTTTTTCATTGGTTTAGTTCTCCTGAATTCTGTTCAGGATGAACATTAGTTCTTTGTAAGGGAACTATATAGGGCATGAAAGTAGAATTCTGATTGAGAAAAATCTAGCAGATAACATAAGAAAGGAGAGTATAATAAGATTTAAGTTCTCTCCTAATTTTAGTCTATCACTAAAGGGACTTAAAATTCTGAATAATTCTTTAAAATCACCAATACATGAAGAATTCAGTTTAATTAAAAACATAACTCTTGGGTGTGTGGGTGGCTCAGTCGGTTGAGGATCTGACTTTGGCTCAGGTCATCTCAGGGTTCATGAGTTTGAGACCCACATTGGGCTCTGTGCTGACAGCTCAGAGCTTGGAGCCTGCTTCAGATTCCGTGTCTCTCTGTGTCCCTCCTCCACTTGTGCTCTCCCTCTCTCTCTCTTTCAAGAATATTAAAAAGTATTTAAAAGATTTTAATAATGTTAGTCAAGTGAACAGACATTTATAGACTATCTCTTGCTTACCAGGCATTATGCTAAGCACCTAGCATTGGATTAGTTCTTCTAATAGCCCTCCTAGAGTTAAAGAAAACGCATATATAGAACTTGACAAATGAGAGAAGGGAGAAAAACATTGGAAATTTGACAATTTAATTTTACATATATATATAATACCATATTATATATCATCTGATGCTGATAAACTTATTTTAGGAATACAAATACTAAAGATGGATTTTTAAATTTGTGACAGTAATTTATGTGATTTATGTTTTATGACAAGAAAGCTATCACTGCTCAGGTAGAGGAGAAACGCAGGAAGAAGCAGCTGGAAGAACAGCAAAGAAAGAAGGAAGAACAAGAAGAGGAGCGTCGTCTAGCACGGGAACGAGAAGAGATGCAGAAGCAGTATGAAGAAGACCTACTTAAGCAAAAACAAAAGGAAGTAAGTATTTATATATGAAAAAAGTTTTATTGAAATGTAGTTGACACACAATGTTACATTAGTTTCAGTTATACAAAATACTGATTCAACAGTCCTATATGTTACGTGTGTTCATAAGTGTAGCTACCATCTGTCACAGTACACACTATTATAGCACCATTGACTATATTCCCTGTGTTGTAGCTTTCATCCCTATGACTTATTCATTACGTAACTGGAAGCCTGTACCTTCCACTCCTCTTCACCCATTTACTAACTCCATCCCTCCTACTACTAGTATGTGGGTCTGTTTTTGTGTTTGGGGGTTTTTGTTTGGCTTTTCATTTAATTTTTTTAGGTTCCACATGTAAGTGACTTCATATGGTATTTGTCTTTCCCATCAGACTTATCTCACTTATCGTAATACTCTCTAGGTCCATCCATGTTATTGCAAATGCAAGATCTCATTCTTTCTTACGGCTAAATAAAATCTAGAATATATATACACCTCATCTTCTTTATTCATTCATCTACCTATGTATATTTGGGTTGCTTCCATATTTTGGCTATTGTAAATAATGCTGCAGTAAACATAGGAGTGGATATATCTCTTGTTTCCTTTGGATAAATACTGCTAGTGGAATTATTGGATTGTATGGTAGTTCTATTTTTAGTTTTTTGAAGAAAGTTCGTATTGTTTTCCACAGTGGTTTTACCGGTTTCCATTCCCACCAACAGTGTATGCGGGTTCCCTTTTCTCTATATCCTCACCAACACTTGTTATTTCTTGTCTTTTTGATCTTAACCAGTCTGACCAATGTGAGATGAAATAATTATGGTTTTTGATTTGCATTTTCCTGATGTTGAGCATCTTTTCCTATGTCTATTAGCCATCTGTATGTCTTTGGAAAAACCTCTATTTGGGTCTTCTGCCCTTTTTCAAAAAATAAAATTATTTGGGGTTTAGGTGTAGTTGTATAACTTCTTTATGTATTTTGGATATTAAATCTTTTTCACATATATTGTTTACAGATACCTTCTCATTCAATAGGTTCCCTTTTTTGTTTTGTGGATGGTTTTCTTTGCAGAAGCTTTTTGTTTTGTTGTAATCCCAGCAGTTTTACTTTTGTTTCCCTTGCCCGAGGAGACATATCTAGAAAATTGTTGCCAGTGTCCAAAAGGTTACTACCTATGTTTCTTTATGGAGTTGTATGGTTTTAGGTCTCATAATTTAGATCTATAATCCATTTTGAATTTATTTTTGTGTATGGTGGAAGAAGTAGTCCAGTTTCATTCTTGTGCATGTAACTGTACAGTTTTCCCAGCACTATTTGTTGAAGTGACTATCTTTTTCCCATTGCATATTCTTGCCTGTGGTATCGTAGATTAGTTGACCATATAAGCATGGTTTTATTCCTAGGCACCCTATCCTGTTTTGTTGATCTGTGTCTGTTTTGTGCCATTCCTATCTTATTTTGATTACTAAAGCTTTGTAATCAAGCTTTGTAGTATATATAGGTTGAAATCCAAAATTGAGATACCTTCAGTTTTGTTTTTTTTTCTCAAATTACATTGGCTATTTGAGAGGTCCTTTGTGGTTCCATACAAGTTTCAGGATTATTTGTTCTGCTTCTGGGAAAAATACTATTGGTATTTTGATAGGGACTGCATTGAATCTGTACATTGCTTTGGTTAGAGTGGACTTTAACAGTGTTAATTCTTCCAGTCCATGAACATGGTAATATTTACATTATAATTAACATTTTAGAGTAAAAAATGGAGTTTTTTAAGCTTATTTATTTTGAGAGAGTGTGTATGAGTGGGGGAGGGGCAGAAAGAGTGAGGAGAGAGAAGCCCAAGCAGGTTCCACGGGCAGTACAGAGACTGATGTAGGACTTGATCTTAGAATGGTGAGACCATGACCTGAACCAAAATCAAGAGTCAGATGCTTAACTAACTGAGCCACCCAGGTGCCCCAAAAAGAGTAGGTATCTGGTTAGCTTGGAAAACATCTCTATTAAGTGGTACAGACAGCATAGGTATGCTTGCATCAAGTGTCATGTCACACAGTGACATTTGATTGCCAGGGATCTGGGAGGTTTAGAGTAGAGCTATAGAGCTCTTCCTCTGGAGCTGGGAGATGGGGCCAAGAACCTGCATTTTCTTGATTTTTCTCATTTGCAGCCTTCACTCCACACTTAGCTGATGAAGCAGTACATGGTCTGTGTTCTAATTTCATTATGTTGAATAGGCTAAGCCAACTACTCCTATGAAATAACTATATACATGAAAAAATCAAAGTATCACGTGTTTGAATTGCCAGAAATGGCCATAAACCTTAATGGTTTTTTGGTTTTGTTTTTACTTAAAAATTTTTTAATGTTTATTTTTGAGAGAAAAAGAGAGAGAGAGAGAATGCCCACGCAAACAGAGGAGGGCAGGGACAGAGGAGGGAGGGTGACACAGAATCCAAAGCAGGCTCCAGGCTCTGAGCTGACAGCACAGAGCCTGATGCAGGGCTCAAATGAACTACAAGATCATGACTTGAGCCGAAGTTGGTCACTTAACCAACTGAGCCCCCCAGGCGTGCACCGCTTATAAACCTTGTGCTTTACCTCTTAATATATTTTACTCTTAGTGGAATTCTGATGGAATTGACCATTGGTTTTAGAACCTTTGAAAACTTTATTATAAACTTGAATAGGTAAAAGTGTTCTTAAATTTGTGGTCTAATACAGCTGTAGAAAAAGATACTAAAATGTAAGTTTCAGAAGGGAAGGAACTTTGCCCTGACTATTCTCCCAGTATCTTGAATAGTGCCTAGCACATAGTAGCATATCTACCCAGAATTAAGTCTGTACAGGTTTCATAATTACATTTAATAACTTTGTGCACCTTCAATATTAATAGGAAATCATGACTCTCAAGACAAATGAGCTATTCCAGACAATGCAAAGAGCACAAGAGCTAGCACAAAGACTGAAGCAAGAACAGAGAATCCGAGAATTGGCTCAAAAGGGACATGACACTTCTGGATTGATTAAAAATCTTGGCGGTAAGCACTTCACTAGAATTTTACTTATGGGGAGGCTGGGTGTCTCAGTCCATTGAGTGTCCAACTCTTTTTTTTTTTTTTAATTTTTTTTAATGTTTTTACTTACTTCTGAGAGAGTGAGACAGCATGAACAGGGGAGGGTCAGAGAGAGAGGGAGACACAGAATCGGAAACAGGCTCCAGGCTCTGAGCTAGCTGTCAGCACAGAGCCCAATGTGGAGCTCGAACCCACGAACCATGAGATCATGACCTGAGCTGAAGTCAGATGCTTAACCGACTGAGCCACCCAGGGGTCTGAGTGTCCAACTCTTGATCTCGGTTTAGTTCATGACTCATGATTCATGGGATCAAACCTGCATTGGGCTCTGCACTGACAGCAGAGCTTGGTATTCTCTCTCTCTACCTCTCTCCCGCTCATGCACTAAGCTCTCTTTTAAATAAACAGACTTAAAAATAATAATTAAAAACTATTTATAATATCTTTTGAAGATTATTTTTTTTTTTTTTTCTTACAAATAGTTTATTGTCAAATTAGTTTTTACATAACACTCAGTGCTCATCCCCAAAGTGCCCTCCTTCATGCCCATCCCCCCCT